TTCTGAAGCTGAAACTAAGTCTGTGGCATCTGAAGGGAGACGGGGCCCAGTGGCAGGGATTGGTCTATAGCTTCCTGTTGCAGGGGCTCATTTGGACTTAGTGTCATCTGGTAGCCCGGTCCAAAGGCCTTAGTAAAATTCTTAAATGTGGAGTATGCTGCTTTCCAAGGACAAAGAAACTGTTTTGGTATAGGGCCTCTTCCTCTGTTGTTGGAGCCGCGAGACCAGCAACTGATCCAGATACCCCCCAAGGAGCTCACTTGGGCTGCGGCACCCTGGATTTTGTCTTCATTCGAGACCCAACCATCTCTGCTTACCTGTACCTGAGGCATGCAAGACAGTGTGGTTTGTTTTCTCAGTAGTATCATCGGTGTGATTGAAAGTCAGGACACCAACAGTGGCCGTTAGTGCTCCACTTTGGTCCAGTGATGACACTTGGCAAGAAAAGCCAGAGTCCCTGTGGAAGGTGTAAAGGCACATTGCATGCCTTGCCTGGTGACACAGAGATGAATAAAGCATTAGCAATGTCTAAGGCTGTCTACCAAGTGCCAGCAGTGGCAGCAATTTCTCCAGTTAGAGTCTGATGATACTAAAATATCCACTTTGTTATGTAACTCTCACTAGTTCACAATGAGGTGCCAAGTACCAGAAACTTTATGAGCTAGTCCAGGTCGTTAAGCATGAGATGGTGCTGGGTATCACTCTGTTCTTACTAATTTTTGTATGAGAAACACTCTCTTCCTTCCTGTGGTATGCTCTGTAGTTTCACTGCATGACCTTGGCCTGTGTGAGGAGGTATAATCCGTGCCTGGCTTGGAATTCCGTCAACATTTATAGAAGCGACCAGCAGGGGTCGCAGTAAGCACGTCCAACCAGCAGCCAGCCGCTGTCCTGGGGCTGCAGCACCGCAGACTGTCCATCCGAGTTATGCAATTTGGTAACATGGCAGTCCCAGTACAACCAAAGGGTCCAACAGCAGCTGTGACTGGCGCACCCCTGGTAATACAAGTTCCACAGCCCCAGGGGGAATTCACTTACCAGGTGTTAGCAGTATGAGACTTTCTAGAAATGAGCCTTCCTAGCCCTGTGAGGCTGCATTATCTGACCAAAAGGGGGAACTGTAGACAAAGGAAAGAGGTTCTATGGAAAGTGACCTCACAGGGTGATCTGATCATAAATTCCTAACCGGGCAGCTCATGGCAGGTAGCCGCATCCCAGGCCTATAACTTTTTAGTGAAAGGCTTATCTTTGCCTTAAGCCAGCCCTGTCCATTGTTTCTGTGCATATCCAGAAATTAACACACCTCTGAAATAAACTACAACCACCCTCGAGACAGCACAGAATGTTAAATAGACTTAATCCAATCCCTGCCTTGCTTTCTCCAATCTTTATTCCCCTCCTTCATCTCAAATGCATAAAAGAAGCTGCAAATCTGTTATTCTCTGGAGCATTTGAGCTCTTGCTGCATGGCATATGTCATCAGTTTGGCTCAAATAAACTCTTATAAAAATTTAAAACACATAAGACTAGAGAGGGAGCAGTTATAATTAAAGGGTTCTGAAGGTTTTGTATAGTTAGAAGGGAGATAGATCTATTAACAGTTTAGACTGTTAATACACATGTGACAATGTTAAGGGTAATCTCTGACAGGATAGAACTGGAGTGTGTCATTTCCAAGCCAGTAAAAAGAAATTAAGAAATCATTTGAAAAGTAAGAAAGAAAAACAACAGAAAGCAGGATAAATAGAAAGTATCACTTGTGTATAATAGAAACCACTGGTTTTGTTTAAGTAGAAAAGGAATCTTCTAGACCATTTTAGGCGACTCATAATGGTTAATTTTATATGTCAACTTGACTGGGCGAAGGGATACCCAGACAGCTGGTAAAACATTGTTTCTGGGTGTGTGAGTGCTTCTGGAAGAGATTCGCATTTGGATCAGTAGACTGAGGAGGTCCCCCTCACCGGGGCAGGTGGCCTCATCCAATCCATTGAGGGCTGAATAGAAAAAAAAAAATGGTGGAGGAAGAAGTTCCTCTCTGTTCGAGCTGGGACATCCATCATCTGTCCTCTGACATCATCGCCCTTCAGGCCCTTCTTGCTTTTTCAGTCTCTACCTCCAGAAACGACATGCTGACTTCTAGTAGCATAGATGTCTGTGAGATTCACCCATATTATTCATTCCATTATATAAATATCCACCGTTCTGTTGGACATATGGGTCATTTCCAGTGTGGGATGGTTATAAATAGTGCTGTTCTGAACATTCTTGTTTGGCTGAACACATGTACATTTTTTCTGTTGCTAAGCCAACATTTTTGCTCTTTAAATGAAGTTTTATAATGGAAATTTTCAAACATTCTCGAAGGTAGAGGGAATAAAATAATGAACCCTCTGTGCCCATCACCCAGCTTCAATGATCAACATTTTGCTAGTCCTTATCCCCACTCCCCATATTCTTTATTTTTTAATGTTGGAGTAACTTAAAGCAAATCCTAATCTCATCGCGTCCTGCTATTTTGTATTTATTATAACATGCATATACATGTGATATGTATAATACATGCAGATGTATGCATATCCCTAACACATAAGGATTCTTTTAACCACCATGCCAGTATCATACCCCAAATCAATTCCTTGATATCTAGTAACCAGTCTATTCAAATTTCTCTGATTATCTCAGGTATGTTTCTGTTGGACTCAGGATTCAAACGTCTACACCGTGTCCCTCTGAATGTCTCCTGTCTTTTTAAACATTCCTGCACCTTTTCTCATGCCCTTTACTTTTGATGAAACCAGTTCATTTGTCTGTAGATTTCCCCCCATGCCCGATTTGGCTGATTGCATCCTCGTGGTCTAACATGTTCTTCTGTCCTCCATTTTTCTTGGAAACTGGTAGGTAAACCTGAGCATTTCACAGGTGATGCTACTGCATCACATTGGGAGGCACGTTCTGCTTGTAATGACGTGAAAATGGATGTGGGTTCAGTTGTTGGCAAGAGGGATTTGTTATAGTTTATCAATTTTCACCTGATGGTTTAGCAGTCATTGATATCACTGCCTCCATCGTTAATTAGGCATTGCAAAATGGTGGTTTTCTAATTATAGTTCTGTATTCTTAGCTGGAATTTTTCTATAGGGAAAAGCTTTCCATTATCAGCTATTTTGTTGCTCAGTATGGGAGGCAGGAAAATTCTTGATTTTTTTTCTTTCAAAACTAATTTCAGCATAAGGACTTGGTGCCTGCCTATATCAGTCAGCCCAGTCAGGAGGTTGAAACTTTATCAGTTACTTTAAGAATGAGAATTTTATGTAAAAAATTATTAATAAGGTCTCTGAAAAGGCAAAAGTGAACACTGAGATATCACTGAGCTACTGGAGGAAGCAGCTCTTAACCCATCTGGGGAGCCAAGGAAGTAGGGCTCCCAAGGCTAGGGCATGTGTCAGAACTGGGAGTTCAGGAGACCTGGCCCGGTGACCAGGTGGGCAGGCACAGCCTGGGGAGGCCCTAGCATGCCTCAGAGCAGGGAAGGGCAAGCACCTGGCCTGGGGACCAGCAGTATGACTGGGGAGGAAGCAGCCAGAGCGCACCGAGATGGAGGTCAGTCTCTGGAAGGCCCTCCGGGTCCCTGGGTCGTCATTTCCTGTCTGTCTGGTCACTAGGTCAGAGTTAGGCAGCGTCCTAGGCCAGACCTGGCTGGTTCAATGCCAGTCCAGTTTCTCTAGACAAGGCTCCGGGTACCTCTGGCTCTGACGATGGTGGTAGCCTCTTAATGGGCTACTGCCTGCAGAGGGTAAGGCGTGAGCTTCAACACGAGCTTGGCCAGGGCTGATGCCACCACGCCAGGGACAGTGGACTGCCTAACCCCGGATGGGCCTCGTAGGCTTTTGGGGAAAATGAACTGAGATTCCCCAAATCCTAGACCCAGTCTAGATGGGCACCATCTTCAGGGATCGGAGGAAGCAGCCCAAGTGAAAAATCAGAATCAGATCTCAAAACGAGGAGGTAACAGGCTCAAGAGAGTGACTACGCTGGACGGCTTTGCCGTGCAAAACTCATCGAAACTCATCGAAGCAATCAGTTAAGGCAACTGCATTTTGTCCTTTGCTTAGGTTTTTCCCACCCAGGTTTTTTTCAAATTCACTTTTTTATTTTTTGGTTTCATTTAAAAAAAATCTTAACCATCTGAGATGCATCTGGTGCCAGGTCTGTCCGACCCCCATCGGAGCCACTTGTCCCCATTCAGGGGTCTTGCACATGCCTCAGCTGCGTACTCACTCGGAGGACTCTCACCTTCCCTGCTGTAACTACCTGGGACACTCCTCTTGGAGGCACGGTAAGGAACTCCCGCCCTGAGGACAGTCACTATTCACACAGACCGAGGGGGCAGAAGGGAGCGAGGAACATGGGGTGGCACGTCCACACTGTGCAGAGCCCAGTTCCTGACCGTCAGGCTGCTCAGTCCCGGGCCCAGAGGGCGGTGACTTGTGTAGCACTGGAGGCTGGGAGATCAGGGGACCGAACCTCTAAAACACCTTCCACTTCTTACCTGAAAGCCAGCCTTACAGAGGATAAACTGTGACCTTCGACGGTCAGCCAGGACCTGTGCTACCATGCCAGGAGTGGTGGGGGGAGGCCAGCTGAGAAAATAAACGAGCCGGCTTCTTTGGTTGGCTGTGGCCCAGGGTGTGGGTGGAAGACCATCTGAGAGGATCCAGGCTAGTTCTCCCCCTTCATCTCATTTAGTTATTCGTCTCATCTGATGATGAGGTCTCACCTAGCAGAGACCAGACTCTAAGCCACCTCTGAGGGTCTTGCTCACCTCTGAATTCTAGGTGAATAAATGAATGATGGCAAAGAGGCTCAGAGAAGTGCAGTGACTTGGCTGAGGTCGCAGAGCTGACCATGACCTGAGGGCGGCGGCGCTGATGCTTCTCCCAACACCGCCTGCCTTTCCTCCCAGGTCTGACCCTGGAATCTGCACCACGACCAGGGAGGAAAAAATAAGGAGGGAACTTTATTTAATATTAAAGTTGGGGAGGGGATGGGAAGGGAGGCCGGCTTCACTTGGTGATGGTGTTCCTGCAGAGAGAAGACAGGCGTGAGGCCGCAGAGAGGGGCAGTCCCCCACCCCCACGCGGCGCCTGCCACCCACCCCTCACGTACGCCACCCGCCCCTCACGTACGCGTTCATGCTCTTGCCGCTGCCACTGAGCACGATGTAGGGCGTCTTCTGGGCCTTCTGCTTCTCCTGGAGCAGGGCCACGGTGCCCAGGGGCGTGTCGCTGGAGCTCATCTTCTTCAGGAGCTGTGGGCAGTGGCCAGTCAGCACTGGGCAGAAGCAGGCCCCAGCGCCAGCCCCCTAGCACCAACAGAGGGGAGGCCACCCCACGTCCCCGCCAGCCACCCACCGCCTCCTCGTCCAGCTTCTTCATCCGCCGCTCAGTCTTCATCTTGCCTGAGCCCTTCCCGTGGAAGCGGTGGGACAGCTGCCGGAAAGCCTGGGGACACAGGGCAGGAAGGCGTTAGAGCACTCGTGTCCCACAAGGCAGGGGAGGAGTGGTGACTCACCCTACCCAGTGCTGGGCCCGTGGTGATGGAAAGAGGATGGGGGAAGGGTGCCTTGCGGGGCCCCCAGGTGGGGGAGACAGGCTCAGGAGAGGGACGTGCTGCGCTGGGGGCGCTCAGGCCCTGGAGTGAGACCTGCTGGGCCGAGGCTAGACCAGGTGACCTAGGGCAGAGGGGCAGGGCAGCAAACCCAGGGAGAGCGCAGCGGGGAGCGCTGGTGGGCTGGGGGAGGGAGGCAGCGATAGGGCTGGAGAGTCAGGCCAGGGCCGCCAGCCTGACCTAGGGTGTCTGTGAGAGCACAGGAGTCAGTCCACAGCCTGGACACTGCCCGCCAGAACGGTGGCCCTGAGGGCAGGTTGAGCCACTAAGGGCAGGTGGGCAAAGGCACCGAGGCACCTGTCTGATCCTGCCGCCAGGCCTGTGAGGGGAACTGCTCTGTCCCCCCAGAGAAACAGAGACCAAGGCCCAGCACTTGTGACACTTCTCCAGTCCCCCCAGCCAGGAGCTAGGCAGCCGAGACCGAGGTGCAGCTCTGCCCCCGTGGCCCCGTTCGGAGGCCCCCTCACCTCCTTGGGTGTGAGCTTCCGGCCCGTCTCGTCCACATACTCGATCTTAACATCAGGCTTGTAGCCATCCTTCTCCTTGAAGTCCTGGGTGAAGCCCCGGTACTCCTCCCGCCGGCTGTACTTGTCATCGATGGCCCTGGCCCGAGACAGACGGGACCTCAGGGCCAGCCACTACCCACCCTGCCTGGGTTCCTGGGAGTCCAGAGTTGGAACCAGCCCCCGAGCCTCCGCCCGCCACACTCACATCTTGTCCTCAATGCAGTACACGGCTGACGGCAGGGACTTGTTGGGCGCCTTTACCCGAGCCACCTTCTGCACCGTGGTCTCCAGCAGCCCTGAGAAGGGGGTGGTGAGATCCCAGGCTGCCCACCCCGTCAGAGGGGCACAGCCCCAGGACAGGCCTGACGCCCTCAACTGCACAGCGCGCACTGTGGTACCTTCACAGCCGTGCTGTGAGAGTCAAGACATGAGCCCATTTTGTAGACGAAGGAAATGGACCCAGAGTCATCAAGCCTTGTCCAGGGCCGCCGACCAAGGAAACGGCAGAGTTGGGACCCTACCTAGTGCCACGGTCTCTGTGCTACAGCCTGGACTGCTTCAAGTCCCCCCACTCCTCCCCAGAGGAGACAATGAGCCTTCAGGGATGAAAGGTGCTTCATAGGGGGATATGTGAGCAAAGCCATCAAACATGGTGTGACGCAGAGCAGAAAGCCAGAAGCTACTGCGACTGCCCCACGCCAGGTGCAGGAGTGGTCTGGGGAGCAGCTCACAGCACTGGCAATGAGGGAGACAGAGGGGACCAGAGAAAGCACCTGGCTGTCACAGTACCCAGCCCGGCCGAGGCTCACAGTGGCCCGAACCCCTTACCTTTGTTCTGACACAGGAGCAGGGCAGCCATGCCGGCACCTGGCTGTCACAGCACCCAGCCCGGCCGAGGCTCACAGTGGCCCGAGCCCCTTACCTTTGTTCTGACACAGGAGCAGGGCAGCTGCCAGCCCTCTGTTCACGATGGGCTCCTCGTCCAGGATGGTGGTGGAGGAGGCAGAGAACTGGGGGCGGCACACGGTGGTGAGGAACCGGGTGAGCAGGCCACACAGGCTCTTCTCGCCCCGCTTCCCCACCGGTCACCCCCACCACACATGCCCGCTGTCCTTTCCACGCCCCGGGCCCTGTGCACCGAGATGCCTCGTTTAACCTTCACAATAACCCTAAGAGATTTACAGGCACCATTTATGGGTGAGGAGACTGAGGCTCTGAGACTTGGAGTAACTGGCCCAAGGTCCCAGAAGCAGGACGGGGGACAGCTGGGGCTGGAGCCAGGCTCTTCTAGCCTCCCACCCCAGTCTCGCTGCTCCCCCTCCTCACATCCTGGTGCTGCTTCTCTTCATCCAGGTTGACTGTGCTCCAGCCGATGTTCTCCTCTCCATCAGATTCAGAGCCGCCATTGGCCGAGCGCTCCTCATCCCGTTCGAAGTCCTGGAGGGCAGACCGGCATCAGCCCAGGTGCCCCCAGCCAGCTGCCCCATGCGGACAGGGGCTCATCACTGAGGACTGGCAGGGCTGACACTGCTGGGGACCCACCATGAGCTCCTCCTGCTCCTCCCGGTTGCCGGCTAGCCCGTAGGTGGGGATCTCGCCCAGGGTGCGGCAGAACTCGGACGTGGCATTGAACACGATGGCACCTTTCCGCTCCGGGTCCTCATCCTCCTCCCAGCCCCGCTGGCGGGACTCCAGCTTCTTCACGATCTCCACCACCTGGAGGAGGGAGCAGCTGTGGGCAAACCCAGAAGTTTCTGGGGAGGTGCCGTTGAGACCCAGGACCCCAAGATCCTCCCTGGTGGCAGAAAGACGAGCCACTCCCACTGGCTGACGGCTCTATGTCCTCCCCGTCCTTGGTCCGCGCTCCACTCTGCGCCTGCACCCACCTCACTAGGTCACTCCTCTGCTTCAAAGCCAGCAATGGAATGGCTCCCTACTGCCCTCTGAATCCACATCCAAAACCCTACATGGCTCTTCATGACCAGGCTCCTGCCGGCCCTTCTCCAAAGCCCCTAACTCATGACCTTGACCTTGCACAATTTCCTCCAGGACCTGGAACACACCAGGGCCTCTTGTCACTCCCCTGCCACCCACTCTTCACCTGGCAAACAGCTATTTTAGAACTCAGTGTAAACTTCACTTCTAAAATCCCTTCCCTGAGGCCATAGGGGCCCGGTGGAACTTCCACGGGCTTCTAGCACTGAGTTCCTCAGCCACTCGCGCCTCCTGCCTTCCCCGGCTCGACTCTTACCTCAGGCCACCCTCCTACCGGGCATGGCTCTGAAGTCCTGGAGAACTCAGCTCCTGACATTATCCCCCCAACTGCACCCACTGTCCCCTTCATTGCGTCACGGCCGTCAGCACACCAGGATTATCTGGGATTGCCCCTTTTTTTACAAAATCCTTGACCCCACAGCCCCACTGCTCTGTCACCGACAGCAATCTCCTTAAAGAAGTTTCTAGTCACCGCATCCACTTCCGTACCCCTTCCTGCCATATTTTTATGAATGTCATCATAAACATAAAAGGGTTGTATCAAACACACATATACGTATTAAAAACAATCACTAAACAAACACCCGCGAACCCGTCGCCCGGGCTGGGTACTAATACCCCTTCAGGCCCCGGATCTGCGGTCGTGATTCACTGGCTTTTCTTTAGTTTCATCACACAAGACCTGATCCACAAACAGCGTTGTTTTGTTGTGCAGTCTTTCGACATTACGTAATCTGAATCATACTAATTCAATGACTTCCTTTTTTAAAAAAATATTTTTTAAATTATTCTTGACATGAGTGGCTGCAGTGCGTTAGCTTTTCACCATCTTTCATGATGAGGCTACCGCTCCCCAATCTAGATATCCAGTGCGCCGAGGATGCACTGTTTCTGCTCACACGTAATACGGCCACATGCAATCTGATGCTTGTTTCCTATGCATGTGGGCAAGTGTTCCTCCGGAGCACATGCTCGGGGGTGGGGACTGCTGGGCCGTCAGGCACACACACACTTTCACTCTATAATACGTCGATGTCCTCCCAATCTGATTAGACTCCTACGTCCATGAAAAGCATATAAGAATTTTGGCTGCTCCACATCCTCGCTTATATTCCATATTGTCAGACCTTGACAATTTTTGCCGCACAGTGTGGGTGTGACCTGGTATATCATTGTTTTAGTTCACTTTTCCCTGATCACTGATGGAGCTGCACCTCACTGGGTATTTCGTTGGCCATTTATCCTTCCATTTCTGTGAAATGCCTACTCGGGTCTTCTGCCTATGCCTGTTTTGTCGATTTTTATTCTTCATATGTTCTTGACACCCGCCTCTCCCTCGAAACCCAATTTTGATTAATCCCAACCACTGTCTACTCAGCTGACCACACTGAGTAGCTGAATGAGCTAAAGAAACCCATTAATGTGCTGACCACCACTTTAAATTCACAACCACTTACTGCCAATGGAAAGCCCCTGCCGGTCCCCGGTGAGCAGCCAGCAGTGCCTCCCCTCTTCCCTGGCTGTGTCTGACCTCCGCTCTCCAATGTCCCACCGCTCCTCAAACCCCCACGTCCACCCTGACCCTGCCACCTCTGCCACCTCCTCAATGAAGACAATCAGATGGCAGCTCCTGCAACTAACCCCCAGCCAGTTACCTGCACGTGCTGTCTCCTCCCTTGCCCTCCCTCCTGAAGTAAATGACGACATGACCTGCTTGGTGTCAAAGACCACCCCCATGTGCACTCTCGGTCCCATCCCTGCCCGCTCCTTCAGGATTTCCTCCTGAAAATAACTCCTTCCTTCTCCTATTCCATCACGAATTTCTCTCTCCCAGATTGGCACCAAACACTCCAGAATCTCCAGCACCTAAAAACATTCCTTTGAGGGTGTGAAACTCGGTTGGACACTGGAAAAAAACTAAAAAGACATTTAAGAAGATAACTGGGAAATTTTGCTATACGGACTGGCTATTTTACAGCATTTATGGAATTTTTAAGGCAATGTGGCTATGAAGGGGAACGTCTTTGTTTTTACAGATGCCCACCGAAGTACTTAAGGGTTAGGTGTCACAATGTCTGCGACGTACCTCCAGTGGATCGAAAAAGAGACGCAGAAAGGACTGTGATGAATGTTTACAATTACTGAATATAACAGGTATAAAGGTATTCACTGTAATATTCTTTCAACTTTTCTGTATGTAAATGGTGTGGGGTGTGGCTCATGTATGTTTAAACAACTTCTTCTGTGATTCCAACGTACGGCCGGGCTGGGAACCACTGGGCTTCATAACCTTTACGATTCTTTCGGCCATAAACTCTATGATTCTTGGATATAATTTTAAAATATTAATGCTATAAACCATTAAGTACAAAAAGCTTCCCTTGCAAAATGATCAAGCCTTTTTTTCATTCTCTCTCTGAAAAGTATTCCAACGTGGTGTTCCTTTAAGTAGATGTGGATGACTGTCAGGATGTTGCTTCAGAATGTGAAGACAAATGCATACCAACTTTCCAGTTTTTTAAGAATGGACAAAAGGTGGGCGAATTCTCTGGAGCTAATAAGGAAAAACTTGAATCCACCATCAATGAATTAATCTAATTATTCTGAAAACATAACCAGCCATCGGCTCTTTAAATCTTGTAATTGTTTTAACTTACAAAAAGGAAAGACTATACTCAACGCCCATCTGGTTACGAATGAGAATAAAATATTAATTTTATCCTTAAAAAAAAAAAAAAACTTCTCTCAACTTACAGCCCCTTCAGCTACTGTCCCATTTCCCTAACCCTCTTTAGAGCAGGGAGGGCTAACGATGGGCCACCACCTGCTCTTATAAACTTTGGAACGCAGCCATGTCCCTTCACACATATGCTATCTGCAGCTGCTTTCGCTACAGAAGTGGAGCACTGAGACCATGAGCTTCAAATATTTACTCTCTGGCCCTTTAAAGAAAGTCTGTCCACTCCTGCCCTAGTTGCAGCCCTCACTTTGACTCCCGGCTCTTCCCAATTCTCTTCTCGAATCCACTGGAATGGTCTCGGTTGTGCCACATCTGACCACCTCCGGGCAGTGTCAGGACACTCCGACTACCTCTTCTCAGACCCCCTCTTGCTTCAGTGACATGTCACTCCTGTGGCTTTCTTCCTACCTCTGCGGGAGCCCCCCGCCTCTCCTCTGTGCCCATGGAGGGCAGCCTGGGTTCACTGCGCCAGCCCCGCTCTCTCCGGGGTGGCAGGTATACGGTTAAAAACGTGGACTCTGGAGTCAAGCGGTTTGAACCCCATCTCTGCCACCTGCTAATCATGTCAACTAAGGCAACTTGCCCAGTGCCTGTTTCCTCCCCTGTAAAACGGCGAGAAAGAACCTTCCTCAGAGGGTGCTGCTGTGAGGATCAGAGGAATTAACACACAAACCACTTAAGCAGCGCCCGGCTCATGTCAGTGCCCCGTGAGGGTCAGTGACGGTCACGGCCTCGAGGGCCCACTGACCTCTCCGCCTTGGCTCACACCACCGCGCCCTCTTTCTGCGCCAGCCTGCCTGGTCCTCAGGCATTCCAAGGTCACTGCTCCAAAGGACATCTGCTGTCCGGTCCCTTCCACCCTACCCAGTCCGCCCACCTCCACTCGAATCTGCAACAATGGCTCCTCTGTGTTACTCAAGTCTCAGCTCGAACGTAGCCCCGAAAGGTCGGCCCCGAACACCTGCGTTAAGACTCCAGCCCTCCAGTTACTCTCTCATCCTGTTTGCTCTGTCCGGCTCTAATCACTGTCAGAAATTAGTCTGCCCGTGTTCACTGCTACTTCTCCCCCAGCCTCAACCAGAAAGTCAGCTCCATAGGCACAGGGCCCCTTGGCTGTCCTGTTCACCAGGGACCCTGAGCCCCCAGGTTAACTCCTTACTCACAGCAGGCACGCGACGCACATGCACAGAAAACGAGAGAGAGAAGCATCCGACTACTAAAGCATCTCACAGTGAAAACGCTGCAGAAATCTAGAAATTTACTAATACGTGACATTAAACAAAAAAGAAGTTGAGATCATAATGTGGGTGCTGCCTACAACGGCCCATGTCATGTGCTCGTCAGAACAGGTCACCACAGACACACCTGTCACTCAGCCTGAGACCAACAACCACCTGCGCCCAACCCAGCCTCAAGGGCCCCTTACCTTCTCACCGCTGTCTCGCAGCTGCTGCAGCTGCTGCAGCTGCCGCAGCCGGCGCCCCTTCTCCAGCTGCTTCTGCAGCTCCAGCTCTGCCTCGTCCTCCTCCAGCGCCTCTGGGGACCCAGATGGCGATGCTCCGCCCTCCTCTGGTGGAAACAGGGGACGCCTGCTCAGAGCCTCCTTCTGGACCCTGGGCTCTCGTCCCTGCCCCTCTGCCCACTCTCAGTTGGCTGGGGTCCCCTTACCCTCGTCACTGATGTCCATGTTCTCCACTCGAGTGTCATCTGACTGGGGTGGCTGAGGAACGGGTTCCTTCTCCTCGTCCTCCTCCTGGGCCTCCTCGTCTGCCTCAGGAACTTGGCGCCGACCCCGGCCCCGCAATCTGGTGGGAAAAGGCCTCTGCACTGAGCATCAGCCTCTGGGCCGGCCCAGCCCCATACCCCACCCCCGTGTCCAAGCCCACCTGGAACCAAAGTCTCCATCTTGAGTCTGGTCTCCAAGAGGCAGCAGGTCATCGGCCCGCACTACCACCTCCTTCTCCTTCTTGCGGATTTTCTTCACCCTCCGTTTGGTCTTTTTAAAGGTTATCTAAGGGAAGAGAGAGACGTGAGAGGGGGAAGGAGAGCAGCCACAGCCCACGAGAATAAACGCTTCTGTAGCGTTCCTCTGCCAGCCGCTGTCCCAACCACTTCACACACGTGGACCAGACGCAAGGTGCGAGTGGCTATCATCCTGTGTGAGGAGGAAAACTGAGGCAGAGAGATTAAGTACCTTGCTCAAGGTCACCCGGCTCCTACATGCGAGACCCAGGAGTGTCAACCTCGGTAGTTTGGCCCCAGAGTCTTGCTCTTAACCACTTAACCGAGCAATCTTCTGAGCCAGCTGTCCACCTCTGCATTCGCAGTCACCCCACAGGCAAAATCCACATCTGGCTGTGGATCACCACTTACCGAATCATCAGTAATCCTTGCCATGGCCTCAAGAGGTGGCTCCCGCCGACCTCATTTCAGATGAGGCACCTCAGGCTCACAGTTAAATGACTCGCCCGAGGCACGAGCTGGCTACGTGGCAGAGCTGAACATGAACTCGCCGCCTCCCCGAAGCACCCCCCAGGCCTGCCGACCACCGCGCCTCGTGGAGCACCAAGCACCGAACGCACACTGGACCTCCCTCCTCAGCTCGTTCTGGCAGCACGTGAGCCCCGAGGTGCGGGCAGTGGCTGCGGGGCTCACCATCTCCTCGGGCGTGAGGTACTCGGAGGCGAGCCGGGGCCCCGCCGTGCTCAGGGACTGGGCTTGCAGCCGCAGCTTGGTCCGGATCTCTTCCAGCTCGCGTTCCCGAAGGCCGTCGGCCATGCCGCCCTGGTCCAAACGGAAGGAGTGCGGCCGCTCGCCCTCGAGCTCCTCATCGTACTTGGACAGGATAGAGCGGGGTTTTTGCTGCAAGGGAAGAGGTACAAGTTGGGACCCAGCCTGGCTCCCCAAAAGCCACAGAGCCACCAATTCCTCACAGTCCCCATGGCCGACGTTCTCGGCCGCAGCCCCCACGCGGTCGGCCTGCCTGTGCCAAGTCATCCACGCTCTCGTCCTCCGCATAGGGCAGATAGTCAGGCTTTTTCTTCCTCAGCTCCACGTTTTTCTCTGCCCGCTCCTTATCCACCAGGTTCACGTTCACCAAGACGTCCTCCTCCTCCTGCAGCACACCTGGGGACAGGGCAGAGGGAGCAGCCATCCACACTTGCCCTCAACTTGGCAGGACCTGTGCCCCCAACCAGTGGACTCCAGCCCAACCCACCTTTGTCCCTGAGCGTGAGGATCACAGTCTCCCCTTCCCGGAAGGAGTCAATGGCATGCTCCACGGTGAGGCCCTGCAAGTCCCGTGCACTGTACAGGTCCTGGAAGGGAGGCGGAAGGTCCAGCCAAGCCAGGAGCCCTGACCCCTCCAAGCCCTGGGATCCCAGCACCATGGACAGCAGTGCCACCCCCTCCCCCGCACCCTCAGCGCCCTCTGCCACAGCAGCGTCACCTGCCGCCTCTGCCCGAACTCCTCTTCCACCAGAGTGCTGACACCGAACTCTTGGTCCATCTCCTCCAGCAGCTTGGCCTATGGGACAGGAGCGGGGTGACCTACAACCTCAGGCCATTCAGGATCACCAGAAGACACGCGGGGCTTTATAAAATGGGAGTGCAAAAAGGGCAGGCCTTGCAGGCGAGCCTCTGAGAATCCAAAGCAGATGCCACTGACCACGGACCTGCTACCTCTCTGAGCCCAGCCTCACCTCCCAGGGGTCAGACTCCAGCCTCACCCGCCAGTCAAGGCAGCAGAGGCACTGAGCAAGCACCCCCCACAGGTCCTCACCCTTTTCTCTGCCAAGTCTTTTTCCTTCTGAAGCTGCCGGCTCCTCTCGATCCAGGCCGCAGTGTCGTCCAGCCAGGGGTCGTCCTCCCCCAGGGTCTTTATCTTCCTGAAGAGGAAATAAAGTGACCCTCTGGGGAGCCCAGCTCCTGCTCCCCCCATCCCGACTCCAGAGCTCCCTGGCAGCCTCCTCAGGCCCTTCCCTTGCCCACCCTGGATGGGACCCCCTCACCCCAGCTTTTGATTCAGGAGGCGCTTTTCTTTGGCCGCCGCCAGCTTCTCTCGCAGCTCCTCTCGCTGTCGCAAGGCCATGGGGTTGATGACTTCGGCTGCCACGGGCTCCTCCTTGGTGCCCGCCTCTGGAAGGAGGGCCCAGACGTGAGGCTATGCCTGCCCATGGCTGGTGGGGAAAGGAGGGAGCCACTCGCCCTGCCCCCTTCCAGCTCAGGGGGCCAGATGGGGCCAGGAGAGGGAGGAAGGATCCTTCAGCTCCCTACGCCCACTTTATTCCCACACCCTCATGTCACCCCAAAAGCATAACGGGACCCTCCATGCCTTCCAAAGTCTCAAATCATGCTGAAAGGATAACTAACACCCGCACAGCCCCGATCGGTTTGTAGCGACGGTGCGCATCTCTCAGCCCACCTAATGCTACCTGACAGCCAGAGGAGCAATGCTCAATGTTCAAACTTAAAGAATGAGCTCGCTGTCAGATCCCCACTATGACCGAAAGGAGGAGCGCCATGCCTGGGGGTGAATGCGTGGTGTGCATGCGCGCGTGCACACACTCACATACGCACACGCACACATATATGCACACACGCATGCCTGTTAACTGGTGCTGAACCTGTGCTCTAACCCCACTTTCTTTAGTGACCTCTTCATGTGCCCTCCCTCGCCCTCATCCTCAGCCCCATACTCACCCTTCTTGACGGCATTGACCTCCAAGGGTTTCAGCCCCAGCTTTGCCCGGAGTTTACTGAAAGTAAGAGATACAAAGTGTTAAGAGCTGTCAAAGAAACGGGCATGCATTTCTGGAAAGACGGGGTGAAAACAGGATGGGGTTCCATCTAGAAGGCCTGAGCCCGGCGGCCCAGAGCACTGGGAAGGGCACTGGCCTCCAAATCAGGGAGCACGGCGCTAGGCCTGGCCGGGCCCTAACTGGCGGAATGCCATCCTTCCTCTTGGGGTTTAGTGCCCTCTTCTATAACTTAAATGGTTAGCCTATGTGATTCACATGGCACTTCTGATTTAAACCAGAACGCGTGAGTGTGTGAAAGCGTCCCCAGGCAGCTGCTCCAGAGCCACCTGACTCAGAAAAAAAAGCAGAAACATAAAGAAGTTGGTACTTACTTGGTCTCCTCGATGCTGAGTGAGGAGGCATCTCCTGAGCTAGTTTTGGAGCTGGCAGCTGGAATGAGAAGCACAGCTTAGGAGCCGAACACAGGGCCCAAAAGCCACCCCCTTGGCTCCAGCTGCAGGGCAGAAGAGAGCCCTCGCCGGTATGTGGGCCTGGCTGAGATGCTAGAAAAGAGCAGCCGTCTCCCACCCATCAGTCCGTCTACCCGAGTCCCAGTCACTGAGAACTCTGCCTCTTCTAGGCGCCTTCCTTTCGCGACCCAAAAGTCTAACTTTCTGCATCCCTCACTTTGCTACCTCTCCACTTTCATGTATCGTGTTTTCAACCTGCACTGCCCTCTCTGGCCTGACAAAATCCTATCCAAACGCCAAGATCAAGTGCCACCTCCTTCATGAAGTCCTGTTCGATTACTGATCAAAATGAACTGCTCTCTCCAAACTCCACAGCATGGTCAGTCATTTCTGGGTTTGTTTCTCCTCACCGGGCAGGGACCGTGTTGGCCGTATGACTGTGTCAAGAAACACATTCATTGGTGCTTGCTGTGTGTTGGATGTTGGGGACACGGAAATAAAGAAGCATTTCAAACTTCCTCCACTCACTTCGCAAACAGCAAATAACTTCGCTGAACAGAAAGAAGCTAGACACCCTCAGATGGAGCTCACTGAACCAGCTGCCGCCACATGCTCAGCCTTCCTGCATCCCCACCCCACAACCTACCTCCTCCCCTTTTATTCCTACCTGGACCCTGGGTCCCAACACCTCCAGGCTCTCTCCAATTGTGAAGAAACCAATTTTTTTATTTTCTAAAACCAATGGGTTCTTTTCAGCTCTGGTTTTGCTCGATTTCTTGTGGTGTGTGACACTGCTGATCATTTCTTTCTTGTGACAGCGCTACCTTTCCACAGATCCCATGACACATGATTCTAAGGTTTTCCTCCCTTTTTGATAGTATCTTGTTTCACTCACTACTAAAATATTGGCATTTCTCAGGCTCTACTCCTGACTCTGGCTTCTTACTCCCTCAGGGGACTTCATTTGCCACCTAAATACTCGTGACTCCTAAATTGCTCTATCCAGCCTAAACCTGGGTTCCTCCCAGGCTTCCCCCATGCACATCAAATACGGCACTCTCCAAAACGGAATTATTTTCTCCGAGGAGTCTGCTTCTCTTCCAAACTCCTCCATTTCAGTAGATAACAGCACTACCCACCTACTAGTAGCTCAAGCCAGAATTTGAGTCATCTTCGACTCCTTCTTCTTCTTCCCACTCTCATCCAAGGGTGTTAATTCCTCCTCCAAAACACTTCTTTCTTCAATCTGTCCACATCTCTCCATCCCACTGCTGCTGCCTTGGTGCAGGCCACCATCAGCCCTGACCTGGCCTCCAGTCTCGACTACTCTTGATCAATATATGATCAATTCACTTCCCAACTCAAATCCATGGCTCCCTATCACCCTCTAGACGAAGTGTAAATTTCATAACGGGTTTGCACCTGTGTTTGCGCCACTGCCTGTCTTACTGCCTCATGTCTCTACTGTGAGCCCGACACTTAGTTTTTTCTTGCCTCTGCACACACGGATACCACTTCATTCATTCACTAATTCATTCAATCACTCCACGCACTTATTGAGGACCTACGATGAGCCAATTGAGAAAAACAGAGAGAACCTCCGCCCTCGCAGAGATTAGAGAATGACAACCTTGAATCCCAAGTAACCGTAGGGAAACCCTTAAATAAGTGCTGACGAAGAGGGCCTGGGGGTGCCTCGGCCTAGAATGCTGGGCCGATACTGCCCCCACACCCGGGACCGCGGGTCCCGGGACAACCCCCCCGGCCCGCCCCCTGCGCAGGCCCCGCCCCTCACCGGCCTGGC